TTTCTCAGGTGTTCAAATACTTATGTTCAGCAGTGCAAGACAAATAAATTCTTTAAAAATCATACAATGTGATTTCCTGAAATGTTTTTTTAATTCTGTCTCTCAGAGTGGGAATGCACCTACAATGTAAATTTCAGACCCCTCCATGATTTCTAAGTGGGAGAACTTGCAAAATCGCAGGGTGTTCAAATACTTCTGTTCCTCACTGTACGTGATTGTGCTGTTTGTTTGTTGTTCTCAAAGTATTACTGTTCCTGTGCAGGTGCAGGCCACTGCTACAAAGGTTTCATATCTTGGCAGCTGCATTATTTTCTGTTCAGCTTGGTTGCTACAGGCACTAAATCCTGAAGGAGTCAGTTTTGCACCAACTTGGCCTGAGATCAAGTGTTTGGTTCATTCATAGTTTACAGTTGGTGTCATTCAGTTCAACTTGTGGAGGACTGGAATTGTAAAAAAGAAAATAATGATAACTCTTACAGTACTACACATTAGTTTTTTGTTAACGCTAATATGAGACACTCATCTTTTATCAGGGAGCCCCAAAGGATGCATCTTCTGAGGCGGTCCAGGCAAAGCGAGCGAAACGAAAGCTGGAACGGGAGCGCAAGAAGAGGAAGAGGAAAGAATTTCGGATGAAGAAACTGGCAGAAAAAAGTGGCCAAGAGTTGCTGCCAGAGACAAAACAGGAAGAACAACAGGCTCCTGCTGCCAGCAAAAGAAATGAAACTGCCTTTGTCTACAACAAGGTGGAGACAGTGGAAGAGGGTTATGTAGACAAAATGCTGAAAAAGAAGATGAAGAAACAAAGCATCAAGGGGCAGTTAACACCACTGACAGGGAAGAACTACAAGCAGCTGCTCAGTCGTGTGGAAGCCCGCAAAGCAAAGCTGGATCAGCTGAGAGAGAAAGATGAGGGGAAGGCCAAAGAGATGCAGGAAAAGATGAGGTGGACCAACATGCTTTATAAAGCAGAGGGTATCAAAATCAAAGATGATGAGGACATGCTACGCACTGCGCTGAAGAGGAAGGAGAAGATGCGTGCTCAGAGGAAGAAGAGGTGGAACAAGCGTAGTGAGAATGTCACTGAGAAGATGCAGCAGCGACAAGACAAGAGACGAAAGAACATCCAGAAACGCAATCAAGTGAAAACTGAGAAGAAGAAAGATAGGGCACGGAAAAAAGGCAGAGTGCTGCCCGAGGACTTGAAAAAAGCTGCAGTTTAGAGGAAGGAGTTAGTGTCATGTGATGTTAAACAACAAGGCAGTGTCCAACCGAGTAAAGTCTCTTTGTGGCTGTGTGGTTCATTAGATGAATGTGATATTGCTCTTGCAAAAACTGTACTTTGTTTCCTGTCCAGGCGTAATATAATGTGTTATGGTCAATTAAATATGATCATTCATTATAATGAACACAAATGTCAGCTTGTCTTGTACAGTTTGTTTTATTTTATGAATATCAAACCTGTTGCTATGTCTTCTGAAGGAATCGTTTGTTGTTAGCTTATTCGCTTTTTAGCTAAGTGTTAATTGACAAGATTGAGCACTCGTGTTTTTATGCTAAATATGAAGCAAATACACAATAAGTAGCTTTTAGAGTCGAGAGAAGTTGTCAGTTGGTCATCTGCATTTTGATACAGCTTAACATAAAGACTTGAAAATGGGGAAAGTACTATCGTAGCTCTATCTAAAGCTACCAAATACCACTTGCCAGTAGTGCTGGAAGAAGTGTTCGGGTCTCCACACAAGGGGAAATACCCAATGAAAAGTTGCCTTCAAGCATCATATGTAAAATGTACTTAAAGTAAAATGAACTGTTTTGCAGAAACATAGCCGTTGACTGGCACATTATCATACATTACATTATTTGAATGTTAAAATTCAGTGCATCAGTATATTAGCAGTATTGTGTTGTTGCAGCTACTTGAGGGTAAAATTACCTGATACACAGTTGGCTAGTTTTAATCTAGGCCTATGTTGGCACATGCACAACACAGCAAAAGCTTAACAAAAGCACATGAACTCGGCAGCTACAGCCCAAGATGAGCCCATCTTCATTACAACCGAGCTGTAACTATCCCACTCCGAAGGCAAAATGAAAACATCCTCACACCACAGCAGTATGTAAATCAATTGTGAAATAATGCGCTCTCTTTTCCAGTGAGTTAAACAGCTATTAAATGTAACACAGATCAATTCACTGTGCCACAGACCTAGTCTCATTTAAACCTAAGTCATTCAGATTCCTGTGTCAAATGTATTCAAATTCAACATCAGACATGCAGGCAGATCTTGCTGCTGTAGTACATACAGTAACACTGTATAAACCATTTCTCCTCCTGCATGCTTGGTTCTAGACGGAAGGAGCAGGGGGCTGGGGTGTACTGGAAGGTTGAGGTGTATTATAGGGGTGCAGCAGATATTTCCAGGACAATTTAATGAGGATCAGAGTGAGAACAATTGATCCACAACTTTACTGTGTCATCTGTGAAACATCCTGCAGACAGACTGAACAGGAGAGACGATTTACTCAACACCTGTGTACTGTTTGGTCTGTTTTAAAGTCTAGTCACATTTGGTATTTCTGCTGAAACTCAGCTCCATCTGTTACATTTCACTTTATGTGGGTCTGTGAAGCTCATTTTTTGTCAACCATATTACAACGATAATTAAATATGTGCACTGGACGGGTTGTGTCATATGAATCAAGTCTGAATCTTTTGTCTATGGCTTAATATTAGTAATAATATCCTTAGATGTTTCTTATACCCAAGAAGGGAATAAGAGGAGCCAATATTTAGCCCATGTATGTCCAAGTAAAGGGCCCCAACCTAGGAGGTTGCGTTGCTTTTTTAAAGGTCACATACTGTTGGCTTCTTTCGTCTGACCAACCACTCCAAAACCCAGATTCAGTTTGAAATGTCAGAAAACAGCGACAAGTTCACACTGCAGAGGACAGGTCTACAGAAGAGTTTGCTTGAAAAATGGTTCAATTAATCCATCATGAAAAGTTGTTAAAATATGTTTCTTTCAATCAGATATTCATTCCAGCTCCAATAAAAATTAACAAACTTTTACTGCATATGTGTATCAGCCTCTAAAGTCAACACAGGGTCCGTGCTGTGCTAAAGACAACTCTGACTGGTGTGATGCAACCACAAAAACATGAGGAACACCTCAGCTGGTCAGTTTCCCTTTGTTATATATCCATTAAATAACCACTACACTTGATTGTTCCATTACTGTTGTCTAAGCAAATACAGCAGTTGTTGAGGAAATGCTGACCTCAAGTGGTAGTTTGGGTACACAACACGGAGTGCTTTCCTGACCTCACTGTCAGGAGCTATGGTGGCAGCTGTGTTTACAAAATGAACTGATATCTGCTCTCACCAGTAACAGCACTATTTGTGTATTGCTTATTTGGACAAGTGAAACCGTGTCCAACAAATCCAGTGCCAGACTTACATTCTCTATTTCTAATGCCACAATAACCCACTGTACAAGAGCTTCAACTCTACATCTAACATGAATGTTAATGTCACCTGATTACAGCTGAAAGTCAGCACTTCCCCAATATTTATCATTGTTACATACAGGATGAGGAAGTACAAAATTCTGAAAAAAAGATCTGTCTAAAACCTCCAGTGATTTATCTCCGGATCCTAGCTCTCTACTGTTAAAAGAAAATCTAGAGGATCAAGCTTTGTAACTGGGGTATAATGGATGCTGTCAATTTGGCTACAGCTCTGGTGAAAGTAATGCTGAGGTGCTCAGAGAAAAAGGAGAATACTGAATATGTGAAGGTGACAACCTGTGACATAATTCATCAGACTGACCAAATAATACTATGCTGTATGTAATTGCACATAGCGATATAAATAGGTTACAAGTAGGGGGATAAATGCACAACACACACACAAACCACCCAGGGGGCAGCAGGGGGAAGCATCTCTCCATCCTGGGTATTACTCATCCTATAACCACCTCACTGTTCTCTGCTGCTATCTGATCTCTCCCATTATCATCCCTGATCTACAATTGATCACAGTGGAACCATTTGCCTTCTGTCTTCATTAATTGCTAATTAAAAGACACCTATAAAACCAGTGAGACTACTCTGTGGCCGCTAAAAAAAGGAGACATTTACTCACTGCTTATGGGAGGATGTGGGGTAGGTGGTGTTACACAGGTGGAAAAAATACCTATTCAGGACTAAAATTACTGGTATAAATTAACAAAAGAAGACTTAAAATGCATTCAGAGCAAATCAATATACACCTTAGTCAAACAAATGTGGCTTAGTATTATTCAGTTATATCTATATACAAGCCTTGTTTTACAAGATACGTGATTTTGGAAACAAAATGCTGATCAAAGTCCCTTTTTATCTGCTTTGACTAAATAATGCTGGCATCACTGAGAGTAATCAAACTTTTCTGAACTCAAAGCAGGTCGTATGGTAACTGAAGTTTTGTTTTATGAAGTCACTTACTCACCTCGCCCACTGTGTGTACGCCTCTCTGTAACATAAACTAAACATCAAGCTAGCTAGCTTTCTCAGTCTAAACTGTGCGTTCAAAAATACAAAAAGGAGTGGGAATCAAACCCTGATTTCAAAGGCTTTGAAGGGGATTTACATGTATACTTCAGGGTGAATTTTATTTTTAGTTTTAATTTTACTGACAATATCAAGCTTTATGTAGCAACACGTTTGTTCCCTTATAGTTAAAACTGTAGAATTGGCTAGTTACCATCTAGTTACCATCATTTTCTCACATTGCCATTGACAGTTTTTTCTATTGTGTCTTTTTGGTCCATTTAGATTATTAATGTTGTAACTCTGCCAGTGTCTCTTTTGGGTGACTTTGCTGGTCCCAAGCCCGGATAAAGGAGGATAGATGGACGTAGAGCTAGCAAATACACCACACATAAGAGTCTTTTGATTAAATTTGATATCCTAACATTTAACAATACAGGGCAAAATTGATTTATGTAATGTGGGTCTAGACAAACCATTAAAGTCAAAAAGTTATTTTGAGAAGTGATGGCCTATTTAAATGGCAAAATAAAAAAAACAAACAAGCATCAACAGAAGAAAGTTCATGTAGTTCTAAACATATTTAGGGTGTTTTTTTTACTCATTTTTTGTCTCTCCTATGACGTTATGCCTCTGTCCTACAGCGTCCATTACAATTACTCACAAATAGACAATTATGCAAATTAGCCGTCCCTGGTAGGCTAGTGGTTAAGGCGCAGCGCTTTCGCCACGTCGCCCCGGGTTCACGTCAGATTAACAGGTCACAGGAACTGAATACAAAATGAATGACCGTGGTCATCACATCATCAGAATCAATACATACAGTAGATTTCTTTTTATTTTCTTTTATTGGTTAGTGATAAAGTAGCAAACATGGATGTAAACAAAATGTTTTTTGAATAACTTCAGCACTATACATAGTGTGTACGGAGGCTTCGACAGCACCACTCCACATCAAGACAAGTTTTGGAACAGATTTCTACAGCAAAAACATTTGAACAAGTGTCATGCAGTAGCTTTAAATAAAGGATCTGAATACTTCCTCCACTACTGGCGCTAACATGCAAACTATAAAGTCAACCAGAGGCAGAGCAGGAGCAGGTCTTCACAGACATGGGTGTGCGTCTCAGACTCTGACACAGAGAGAAGCAGGGCAGGATGCAGTTTTAGTCCATGACTACTTTGCTACAAACATTTAGCCACCAGTGTGGCAGGCAATCTTCTGAGATTTACTCACCAAATGGAAAATCTACCAGTTTTTGGCTCCTGGTGGGTGTTAACTTGTGACCCTGTTTGCAATTTATTAAAAAAAAAAACCTTCCGTTTCAATGACTTTAAGAATAGTAATGGTGTAACATGTTATAGGATGATACTATGAAACCACAATATTTTCTAAGACAGTTATCATACTGGGAAAATCTCACACTCCCAGTATGGGATCCGCGACCCGGTCCCGGAGAAGCGGAAGAAAATGGATGGATGGATGGAGTTATCATACTGGGAAAATCTCACACTGTTGCTACCCTACTTGTCACCTGTATGGACCTTCATATGGACCTGCAAGGCCCTGTTCTGTGTGAAACTTTTCCCACAAGTGTCGCAAATATACGACTTTTCACCTGTGTGGATTCTTAAATGATTTGTCAAGTGTTGTTGTGTGCTGTTAGCACCTGTCAGTGAGCGAACGAGAAAGAGGCGGACCCAGGTAGCCGACTTCGATGCAAGCAGTGATTTATTATGTAAAAATGCACAGAGGGAAATAGTGCGTAGTCCTGTCGATTAGTAGTAGCCGGGTGTTTGACCAACAGTAGGAGATGAGGAGATGAGATAGGCGACTGAGCATTGACCTGCCTGGGAGGAGAGAGTGGAGCCACGGTCCGGAGGAACAGTCCATGGGGGGAACACAAAACAGTAGCTGGCTAGGGGATAAATACATACAAAACAACGAAAGAGCACAGAGAAAAAATGGCCTAGAGACAAGAACGAACTGGCAAGTGACTGAGGAGTGAAACCGGGTAATATAGTGAGCAACCTAATCAAGTGCAACTGGTGATAAGGGAGTGAGGAACAGGTGAAAGTGATTAGTGTTAATGGGCAAGAGACAGTAGGAAAGGTGAGGGAGGCCAGAGCGGCCGAGCAAACCTGACAAGTGTGACTGCTGTCTGAATCCCTTCCCACAAGTGTCGCAAATATACAACTTCTCACCTGTGTGGATTCTCAAATGTTGGTTCAATTTGGACTTACATTGAAAAGCTTTCCCACAAGTGTCACATTTGAAGGACTTGTTACCCGTGCTAGGATCAGACTCAGTCTGTGACATGGAAGAGTTGTCCACATTGCTACTGTGACTGGTTGAGCCTGGGTCTACATGCTGGTTTCCTTTCTGATCCTGGCTCTCAGCTACAGGAGAGCTGTGAGAGAGGAGCTGCTGGTCACTGTCTGGTTCCGGTTCACTGTGGTCACTGTCCTCATAAGTAAGAGTCAACATGCTTCAGTCCAGGCTGCTGTCCCTCCTGACTTCTACGGACTTCCTCCTGTTCCTCTTTAATCTTTGGAGGCTCTGAGTCCTCTTGGTCCAGACTGGAGTTCCTCTCCTGGTCACAGAGCTGCTGGTCAGCCACAACCTCCTCCTCTTTACAGACATGTTGCTGAGGCAGCTCTGGAGAGACAAAGGGACACAGGGAACAGGTCACTGATGTGATGAGAGGGAAAAAAAACCAAGTGCTGTAAAGCCTGTAGTGTCATCATTTTCACACTGATGCCTGAACTCAAAATGTGATTAAATTAAGAAATTCAAATAGCAACTCGCTCTTTAGACTTTAGAATAAAAAGTAAAAAATTACATATTAGCAAATGCAGCAACTTCATATCAGTCAAAACTCAAATTTAGTACACTAAATAAAATTTTTAAAAAATTCTAAATAATACTATTATATTTGTGAAGCAACAATTTTCTTGTGACACTTTTACATAGTAGCTAAGGTTTACACGTTACACTATTATAGCAAAAATCCAACAAATCCGCCTTCAGCAGCACTTGGTGACACAGGAGGAAAAACTCCCTTTAACAGAAGAAACCTCCGACAGACCCCGGCTCTTGGTGGGCGGCCTTCTGCCTCGACTAGTT